GTGCTGTAGTAGAAGAGGCGTACAGGTCTGCGAGACTCGTTACGCGGAGTCCTCGCCCCACACCAGCCACTATGTCCGATCTTATCTCCAGTTGGCTTCACGCGGACCTGCCACTGGTATAGACCGGTAATAAGCCGGATTCCCCTCTATCATAACGCATTGGGAAGGTGACTTGGAAAGCTGTCAACCGCTTGTGCAACAAGGTCCTCTCCAAAACCGAGGATCGGGCTGCAATGGCTCCTCGTTGTGGCCTTTACGGCGAATCTCGGCAACGGTAGGGCGGAAGACCCCAATCCGCTGTCGGTATACTGCGAATCGTCTCATACAGGAATGGGTTACGGGTGGGCAGTATGCCGGACAGTAGACTGACGGAACGCAGGGAAACACAGAAGACGTCGGGGGGGCAAAAAACGATACTTTCAGGTAAAATGATGAATTTATGCAGATGCGGTATCCAGTTGGATATTTCATGGCGTTCCATCTTGAAAAAGTGCCCGGCCATCGAACAACTGAACCTATCCCCCTGGCAGTTGATTTCTGTCTTTCGTTTCTCCGCTCTTAGATACAACTATTAATCATCAGTTCTTCACCAAATTTCACAAATACGTACATCAGCACACGATCCACAGTCTACGGACGGCCAGCTGGGGTCCTTCACCCTACCGTTGCCCAAATCTCATTAGCAAGAGACCTGAAACCACTTCATTTGAAGTCTGGTTCGTGGACGTGCAGCAGCGGGCGCGTGTTTTGTAGGCGTAGATGTGCATTCAGCCACTGCATGTCTTCTAGAACCGCTTTGGCTCGAGACTCACACCAGCTGTCAGGCCCAGTCTTCCTAAATTTAAATCAGAAAGTATTTTCATATTGAACAGGTTCGGTAATGTAATTATCGAACAGAATCTGCACTTGCGCTGTCTACCTTCTGAAGCCAGTAGTCTATGCCTCAAAGTGTTTTCATGTCGCTAATGAGTAGCCTGATTAACCTGTTCCGGTTGGTTCTTAATCATAAAAAAGCACTCGGCCTTGCGTGTATCTGTTTCTCTTCTCAGACCCCCGACATCGAGTTGGTTGACTGTAAGTCGCTTCTCGACACTGCCTAGGTGTCCTGTCTTCTTCCCCTGTGGGCTCAATCAACTTCCCTGTTAGTAGGACCAAGATTTGCCACACATTGGGTCAGGGGCTTTGCTCAGTCTGACCCTGCACCAAATTCCGTGGGTGATTAAGGGAGCATCGAATAAGTCCTTATTATTTCGTGTCCGACTCTTAATGAATTTCCCCCTCCCCCCCCCCCTTGTAGGCTATCCCCACGGTTGAAGTTTGCAATCTGGAGGCAGGAGCGGAGGTTCCGCGCTTCATTGAGGCCAACGCCGCGGTGGATCACCCGTCAGGATCATCTGTGGACCATGAGTCGGCACGCATTGCGCACTCCACCCTTCAACAGATTGCTGCCGGAGTCTACCCTGCCAAGTAAGATCTTCTCCCTTCCCCTCCGTCGCACGCGCTCCAATGGCTTGCTTTGACGGACGCTTTATACAGCAGCACCGTCCGAGGGACGCGTTTAGACCGATCCTAGAAGATCGAGTGAAAACAGGGTGGACCTCCTACCGCATCTCAGATGAGATTTCCTCGAAGTGAAACGCCATATTGTCCCTCCCCGTTGTAGTCTCTGAAATAGCAGCGGGTCCGCTCTAATTCAGTCGGCTTCAAGTGGTACCTTAGTAGGCGTCTGCGTGCTTTACGAGTTTTTGGCGAGTTATCAGGCAATTTTTGGCCAGCCTGTATGCCATGTACTATCCACCACTCGGCCCAACAGCTCTTTCATCTCCTGGCAGTAGGTCGTATCTTAATCGGTCATTTCATCTTATTTTCTGCACCCAACGTCATTGAGAATTCAGATCTACAGCAGTAATTTCAATTTATGGGCTGTCTGGCCAGACAGTATTGCCTTGTCTGTCGGTGAAAGCGAACCATGTCATCCAACCTGAGATCAGTATGTCGCATTTGCTGCATTCTTCTGCTGCAAAACTTGTCAAATTTTGTAGCCCATTCTATCCTGCGTATGGTGACGTCTTGCGCTTCATGACGGCGCCACTGGCGAAAATTCGGGGATCGCCTCCACTCAGACAGTGGTTTCCTCCTAATCCTGTCCTTTCGAGAGAAAGGTCAGTCCTCGGTATTCAAAGCAGTCCACTTCTCCATTTAGACGACGGTCGGGATCCAGTGACAACTTCCCCTCGCAAGGGAAGGCGTCCCGACTAAATGTTGCCCTCTGCACCGTTTCTTCGCATGTCAAGCGACAAGCTATCTCGGTCATCGATAATGCCTGTCTGCCGTTGAATAATAGGAGCGGCACATCACCGCGTAAGATTCTGAATAAGTCTGAAATCCGATGACGGTTCACCTCTCCGGAGTCAACGGAACAGTTGAGAAAAATCTATTGAAACGCGCAACCCTCTCAAAGGCGCCGGTCCGCGCACCCGACAAGAGTGTTGTAGGTCTATCCCAAGTTATCCAAAGAGGAGGGCTTGGCCTCAGAACTGCCCTCCTGAATCTAACGCCATCGTCTTGTCTAAGGCAACGAGGTAAGCTCAAAATCTAGTCGGACACAATTTTCTAAAGTATCAAGATGCAATTTGTCAGCCACTGCATTTGAGCCCGTCCCTGGTCGTCTTGGCGGCTGGATCAGGCATGATCGCAGCCGTATCACGTAAGTAGTGGTCGTCTT